CTGTAAATATTATTATTGTCAGATTATATCCTGATGCATCTCAGTAATACCATAAATATATGGTATTTTTATTAGCTGAACAAGAAGAATCAGACTGTTTTTTGTTCTTACACAAGCAGAATTACAGGCAGGAATAACAGGTCCAGGCAGGATGTAACAGAGTCTGAATACTTCACATTTGTTGTCGACCACAGTTACCGTCTCTGAGCAGTAAAGTGTTGGTTACATCCAGCTGAAAGCTTAGGGGGACAGTGAACACCCACAGTGCTGAAGAGACAGGAAGTGTTTGTGACATTCTGCTTCCACAGGTCAGACTTTCCTCTTCCACACAATAACAGTCATCATTAGCTTCTACAAGCCTCCTGCTCTACTCACTTTACTTCTGTTCTTTTGTCTCCAGGTCCTACAGACTGAACTACTGACATCAAACTGTGACCCAGTAACATCTGTGGTGTGACAGAACAAACACACGATCTTTACACGACCCCTTCCATWCACAGATAAATCAACATGAGAACACTGGGATGTTAGCATGAAGTTCATCTTTCTCTACACTCATGCTGCAGGATGACTTCTACACAGAGAAATCAACATGTTTTAGTTTTTATAAATAGAACAAATACTTATAAACATGGAACCCCCAACCAGGATCAGAACTGAAGTGTTTTGAACAAGAGGGGAAACATCAGGARGTGGCTGTGGCTGAGTGGTTAGGGGAGTCTTCCTCTAATGTGAGTCAGTTCCCCACTATTCAGTCACATGTTGAAATGTCCCTGGGCAAAACACTGAACCCCTAATGATGTGTGTCACATCAGTGTATGAGTGTGATTTAAAGCACTGATTAGTCTCTATAGATTGATTTATCTGTATTGTCTCTATAGACTGATTTATCTGTATTAGTCTCTATAGACTGATTTATCTGTATTAGTCTCTATAGACTGATTTATCTGTATTAGTCTCTATAGATTGATTTATCTGTATTTAGTCTCTATAGACTGATTTATCTGTATTAGTCTCTATAGATTGATTTATCTGTATTTAGTCTCTATAGACTGATTTATCTGTATTAGTC